AAATTTTGTAAACCACAAAAGATAGTTACTATAAAAATTTAAACAACAAAACTTAAAAGCCATGAAATAAATCAGCTATATGGTATTTTGTAGAAATTTATAATGTACACATACAGTAGCATTATTGTTGATATTTTTTTGCTGCATGTACATGTACATTGTGAATTTGTAGGCTGTCAAAGGAAAAGAGGAAAAGGCTTTCTTTAGTCTTCCTGAGTTTGAGCGGTGGCAGGCTACAGAGGATAATGTCAAGTCATGGAAGATCAAGTACTATAAGGGACTGGGTACCAGTACTTCAAAGGCAGCTAAGGAATATTTCTCAGATATGGATCACCATAGAATTTCTTTTAGTTATGAGGGCCCTCAAGATGACCGTGCTATTGAACTGGTAAGTTTGGGGTTGTCAAGGGTATAGAATAGATTGAGGTTGTGAAACTACGTCTACATATGTATTGTATACCGTATAGGTGGTATATTTCCCTGGGAAAATATTTCACGAAAATTACCTTTAAACCTATTCACAAAGAAAAATTTTCGCATTTTTCTTCAACTGACCATTATTAGTATGGTAAAAAATAATTTTCATAGATAAAAATTTTTACGAATTTTTTAAGGCCATGAAATTAGCGAAATTAAATCCCGTGAAATATACCCCATATGCAGTATATTGTGTACATGTTCATATACATGCATGTACCGTACTGTTCGTAATTGTTGTGGGGCATTAATTTTCATTAATTTTGCAGTTTATTGGATCATGCAGAATTTGAACCCCTAACACTCACGCTTGAAAAACTACTTAATGAGTTATCTAACTGCTATTTCAAGCCAGAATCTTTGGTACACATGTATGTATTAGCAGCTAGTACTGTAGATCCAAGTGAAAGGAAGTTGCTAACTACCAGCCATGAATATTTGTATGTTCAAATATTGGCTTCTAAGTAAATTTTGAGAAAACGTGAAATATTGGACCCTTAAAATTACCAACCATATGGTACATATGTCCTTATTAAGCTGTTTCCATCCTCAAACAGTTACCATTGTAACACATGCCCATAGCACAAAGCTTGTATAAGACTTAAACATGTGTACATCTGACACATGGGCTTCTGATATACTGCCCTGTCACTCTCATTAGGCATTTACATGTTTTAAGAGGAATGATAAGCATGATATTAAAGTGGCTCAGTTAGCTATAGTTCTGTTGCTGAGCATTCTGCTTATCATCACGGAGAGGTAAATCTTGTACTTATTTTATGTCTCAATTTATTATTACATGTAGCAAAGTCTTATGGCTACTATTATCAACTTGGCACAAAACTTTGTTGGGAGCAACAATATAAATATCCTTCAGCCCATTGGACAGTTTGGTACTAGACTACATTGTGGCAAAGATGCTGCTAGTCCAAGGTCTATAAATATTTGAAAAGTGTTACATTTATTTTTCATTTCTGATCAGATACATATTTACTATGTTAAGTTCATTGGCAAGGCACCTGTTTCCTGCTTGTGATGATGTTTTATTGGATCATTTGTACGATGACAACCAGTGCATTGAACCAGAGTGGTATTGTCCTATAATTCCTATGGTACTTGTGAATGGAGCTGAAGGTATTGGAACTGGATACTCAACTAGTGTTCCGAATTATAATCCACGAGAGATAGTTGCTAATATAAAGAGAATGCTCAATGGAATGGAGCCTGAAGGAATGTTACAGATTAAACATTTTCTGCATTTGTTTATTTTTTACTGTTTCAGAAACCTTGGTATAAGAATTTTTGTGGTACTATTTGCACCTGTTGAACCTCACAAATACATGGTGTTTGGTCAGGTTGGGTTGCTGGGCTCTAATTCATTTGAAATAACTGAATTACCAACAAAGACTTGGACACAAACATATAAAGAGAATGTCTTGGAAGGACTGTTGTATGGCAATGATAAGACCTCACCCTTTATTTCGTATGTTAAGTTTGTAATAAATGCACTGTATCAATAATGTCTGTACTGTAGTGATTACAAGGAGTATCATACTGATGTCACTGTCAGATTTGTTGTTACTCTTTCTCCTGAAAAAATGGAAGTTCAATCTTCTGGCATACACATTAGTACTGGCAATATGGTAGGCAATCAGAATCTTAGTCGTATTGCAGAATTACATCTCTAATTATTAGGTCCTTTTTGATTTCAATGGCTTTTTAAAGAAGTACTGTGGAAAGATCGAAATTCTTAAAGAGTTTTATGATGTACGTCTGGCATAATATTATATCACAAAAGGAAGGAGTATTTGGTTGGAAAGCTAACTGCGGAGTCTGTACTGTTGAAGTATAAAACTCATTTCGTAACCGAAATAAATGAAAGAAAACTTATAATTGGTTAGGATTTTGTTTTTTTTACAACCTGGGGGCGTAACCCTCCTGGTCGTATTATACAATGTAATTGATTCCCCCCACTTGCGGTGTATATACCTATATAATTGTATGTGAACACTTACATTTCTTTTATACACGTATTGGAGAAATAACAAGCCTTAAGGTGGGTTCTCAATATGACGCATTGTTTTTCATGCACTAGCGTCATGACCGGAAGTGCTGTATAAACCAATGGGAGTATGCGTCAGAATAGAAATGATTTCTAATCTGATGCATTGACGCATGTTCCCATTGGTTTATATAGCACTTCCAGTCATGACGGACGCACATGCGTCATATTGAGAATCCACCTTTAGTAACCACCCGCACACTCCTTTATGTAGTGGGTGTGGCCACTGTAAACAAAATGGCGGCTTACACGTGGGACAAAGTTATGTGCTCTCTTTAAGCCCACCATCCACTATTCAACTTTGTTGAAAAAAACTTGTGGCTACTTTGATGGGCTGTCAACTCTGTTGCCTCAAATAGAACTGAGTTCTACAGGTACATGTATTTCAGGCAACAGAGTGGCCATAAGATCAAATTTGGTAACCACAAAGTTGAATAGTGGATGGTGGGTAGATACATGTAACATCCTGCCTAAAGACTTCTTTAGAAGCTTAAGAAAGTAGAGGTAACCTCCATAAGCCTTAATGAGAACCCAGCTGTACATGCAAGGTGGTAAAAGCAATCATAGGAATATTTTTTACACTAATAAACTTGTTTTCACTCGTAATATTCATTGTTATTTTCTACAGGAATGAAAAGCAAGAACATTCTGATATCAGAGTTAGAGTCACAGGGATATGATAGTGATCCTGTTAAAGCATGGAAGAAGAGCGTATCTGATCAGCTAACAGTGGAGGAGGAAGATATTGAGAGCAATGACATGGACCAGATTATAACTATCTCCTTTCTATGCAGTTATGGCTGAGTATAACAAAAGAGAAGGCAGAAGACTTGTTGCATACAAGAGATAAAAAGGCAAGATTTTTATTGGTGGGATGCTTCTAGTTCTGTATCATTGTGTGTCTATAATTTTAGTATTTCAGCTGTATCGGGTGTTTTGCTGTGTTACATGTAGTTTAAGTGATTTTTGTTGGACTATGGTTTGTGTGTATAGGTTGAAGAGCTGAGGGAACTCAAGGAAAAGTCAGCAACGGATTTATGGAAAATGGATTTGGAAAACTTTCTTAAATGTTTAGACGTGAGCTTTTCATCTAACTTAGTCTATAGTGCTATACTCTTTGAATGATAGGAAGTGGAGGAAAGACAATCCCGAGAAGACTCGGCTGGTCCAGCTACTTGTGTTAAGAACAGAGGCAAAGAAAGACGAAAAAATTGACAGGTAAGTTCTCATCATTTGTATTCCCTTTCTACAATTATTAATATTTTAAGGCTCAAATAGAGAAGGCTCTGCTGCAGCAACTAAACCATCATCTTTTGCCGAAGTTTTAACACCTCACGTACCAGAGTTTTGTGTTTTAGACATAAAAAAGGAGAGAGCAACAAAGTTTAGAAAAGTTGAGGCCAACGACCCTGGTTGGACAAAGTTGTGTATTGAAGATATGACTACACAGTTTCGTAATGGTGACAGCAAGAAAAGGGCGTGTCACTTTAGCAGAGACAGTAGTGAAGATGATGCTGAAGACAACACTGATGATATCAATGAAAATCCATCAAAAAAAGGAACTGAAAGAACAACTAAAAAGGGGCTGCTATTAAAATATCTGCTGCGGGTAAAACAAAACAGCAGCTTTCCGCTGTTAAAGTCACTTCACACATTGAGAAACTTGTGAATGAAGAACTATCTAAGGTGGCAGCCAAAGCAAACGCAAGAAAGAGGAAGGTCCCTGATCCTGTAAGTGAAAATCACATGCATGTAGTACCTGAATCATTGGTGTGTTCTATGCGCTCTTGAAAGAAAGTAAAGTATTACTGGAGTGATGAAGATGACAGTGATTTTGATCTGTAAACTACAAGGCTTGCTCATTTATGTTCATTTCCTTTCTTGTTTATGTTTATCAGATTATGTATGGCACAAATTAAATGTCATTTTTATAACATTTACTTTCTTTAAAAAAATTCCATTATAATCCTACAATTCATCATTGTCATAAACACCATTATGGCCTCACCCAAGTCTTATCAAGAAAGATAGTCCTCTGGTCTGGCAGCATCGACACAATCACACACATCCACTATTGAGCTCACTGTACTTATATAACTTCAGTAAGTTCAGGTTCTATAGTAGCTCAGTTGAGTGTTGCAGGGTTTCATGACATGGAGGTGATTGCATGCATTGTTGTAATTTCAGTAGTCTCTAATTTCAGTTGCTTGAACTTTACATGAATACTCTACTTTTTGAGGCTGCCGCGCGTGCCCGGCTACTGATTCTGCGCATGCGTATTTGGAGTATGCTGGCCAAAGGATTGAAGTTGAACTTAAAAGGCGCGGTTTCTGGCAACTTTCTGCCAGTGACTAGACTGCCACTTTCTGAACCTATATCATATCGTAGGGGAGAAAGGCTGCTGATGTAATGGCTTCTGTAAGTACTCAAAAACTTTTAAACCAAACTCTCTTAGCCTCTTCTAGATTTAAACGAAGGAGCGAATAAGAGGCTTTCTGTTGAACGAATTTATCAAAAGAAAACACAACTAGAACATATACTTCTGAGGCCAGATTCTTATGTTGGTTCAGTGGAAGAGGCATCAGACCTCTTGTGGGTCTATGATGATGAAAGGAACGCAATTGTGCAGCGTCAGATTACATATGTTCCTGGCCTGTACAAGATATTTGATGAAATATTAGGTGAGTATATCTAATGCATGCTCATTTTATTGATTATTTGTGTGTAGTGTGTGCCACTGTTATGCATCATGGAGGGTACCAGTGGTTCAATCAACCACACCTCTTGGTTGCACTTTTTCTCTATTATTTATTAAGTTATGAGCCAAGCCACACCTTGTAAGGCCCCTCCCATTAGTTTCATTTTTTTCCTGTGACATGTTCACATTAGAGATTTATTAATGTATAACTGGTAGTTTTGGGGTTAAATTTTGATGATTTTTTTGCTAATTGGTAAATTTAAATTTGGCAAATGTGCGACCGTGTGCCATATGCTGCTTTAATTTTGGTAACTGGCTGTCAGAAGACCAAATGTCCCTTTCAAAATACCAGCTACATGTATTTGTACATTTATATTGTATTTCATTTGGCATGCACATCAGTTTATAGTTACAATAATAAATATAGATTACATGAGAAGGTTAGAGACTATGAAATTGCTTACATGATTATATTGTATTAATATAGCTAGACATTTTTATGACCAAATATAAGCAATGGCACTTATGTGTAGAATTGAACTGTTGATTACATTTTTTTACATTATACAATACTGTTCAGGGCAAAATTTTTGAGTGTTTTAACATTTGCTGACTTAATTTTGCGCTACATGTACTTACATGTATGGTGCTACATGTACGATAGTCTTTTTGCAGTAATGCCTTTTAATGATATTCATACTTCATGACACTCCCACAATTAACCTGGCAGCTATATTGGGTGGCAAAGACATCATGGTGAAGAATTGCTGTGCTATGAATTCTTCTAATCATTTTGTAAAGGGCAGCAGTATAAAGGCCTTTTCACACTGGCACAGTTTTCAAAGCGCTTTGATGATACAGCTGAATAATGCACATTGATAGTGTTCACACTAGCAGCTGAATTATGTATCATTTTGTATTCTTGTTGGCATTGGTTTACATTGATCGAAGCACATTACTTCACATCAATCCACCTCTGGAGGTGAAGTGAGAGTGATGCCATTGATGCGCATCAATTCCAAACCACTCTAGTGTGAACACGATTAATGTGCATTGATGCGCATTACTTTGGCCAGTGTAAAAAGGCCTATAAGTTCTATTGTTTCCCAAGTGATCCTAATAGAAGGCAGCTACGGATAGCAGCTGTGAGAAGAAAACAGTGGGAGCCCAGTGATTACAGCAGGTTGTGTACTGAACATATGTATCAGGAATGAGAGTGATGATGAAATCCATCCAGACTATATACATGTACCTACTGTTTTTGCTATGCTGGTGAAGCTATGCATAATGGAAAGAGAAGGTTAGAATGGTATAAAGAGCTAAGCGTAGGCCTATAGTTACTGAAGTGATTCAGCCCTCAAATGATTTTTAATTTTCAAACTTCCACCCACTTATCTCTGCTGCTCTCCTTCACTCTCCTGAGATTATCTGTGTTTCTGAAACTTGGCTCTCCCCTGAAGTTTTGTCCTCTGAACTATATATTCCCGGATATTCTCTCTTCCCCCTTGGCCGCTCTTGTCATGACGGTGGTGTTGCTATCTACGCTAAGTCCTGTCTGCAGCCTTCAGTCTTCGAGCTCCCCCTCACTCCCTAGAACTGTTAACTGTTAACATTAGTGTCTGCTCTCAATGCTTTCGTGTGTCCTCTTTTTATTGATCTCCCACCTCAGCTACTGCTGTTAGTGATTTGATTAATACCTTTTCTTCTCTCCGGCCTGGTTTCACTTCTAAGAGTATCTTGGTTGACGATTTCAATATACAGTCAAACCTGTCTATTCTGGACATCCTAGGATCCAATAAAACTGTCGTCTATATAGAGGTGTTCTTATTTCAGAGGTTCGTTAATTCACATAGTGCTTTAATATCAAGGAGCTAAACTTTCACTATTTTCGCGGGTTAGCATGAAACCGTGAAATTAAAGATCCGCTAAAATTTCAATTGCCATTAAAGGTGTGGCACTAACCGCAAAATTTATATCTGGGAATATTTTTTTTTATCAATCCGCGTAATTTTAGCTCCGTGAAATTAAAGCACTAGAGTAGGTGTGGCTATTATGAGACACCTTAAAGTTTTCTTCAATTTTTTTGTTTTCTGGTGAATGCTTAAACTTCTTTTGTTAAAAAATATCAAAGACATATCTACTCTTGCTATGCACATTAAAAGCTAAAATTTTTCTACTTGCCTTTTGCTATAAATTTAATGTAAACAATCAGCTAAAACGATGCAGTTATGAGACATTGTGCCATATATGAGACAAATATGAGACGCCATATTTTAATGTTTTTCACTCATATTACAACCCACCTAATGCACTGTATGACATAATTATATTATCTAATATTTTACACGATCAAATCAATCACAATAATTAGTAGTTCTCAACTTCTCATACACTAGCAATTGTTACAGTAGTAAGTTTTTGGCATCCTTTGTGGATTTCTTATACTTGTGCATTTAAAATTGAACCATGTATCACATCCATCATAGCACACCCGAGGGTTGCTACTTTCATCATCCTTGTAAAACAGATCACAGATTGGACATTGTGTTGTGTCTTCCTCTTCGTCAGATAAAGCAAGTTCAGCAAGTCCTATACATAGTGTTTCTTTCTCTGTCTTCTCTTTTTCTTATTTCTTGGCTTCTCTTTCCTTTTTTTTTTTTTCCTCTTTCTTTTGAATTTCTCTAAGCCTTTTCTTTTCTTCTCTCTCCTTTTTCCTCACTTCCTGTTCTTCAAGTTTGTTCTTCCTTTTTTCTTCTTTCTCTTTCTTCTTTCTCTTTCTTCTTTCTCTCTTTTTGTGTCTTCTTTCTTCTGTGTTTGTTCCTTCATTTCTCTAACATGTCAGTGATACATACAGCTCTACTATTGAGTCCTTCACGTTTCTTCTTAGGGACTTTTGGTTTAGGAAGAGCAAGAATATCCTTTACTAAGTCATATACTGAACTACCACACCCACTAGTTTCACTACAAACCTCATTAGAATTATTGATCTTGTGGCAAGTTGTGGGATGAAGTTGATACTGATGCATTTTATGGAGTGCCAGTTGATGTAACAGAAATAGCTCTTTCTGGGTGATTTAATCGTAACCATGCCACATAACTTGGATCTAACAGATTGTATTCTTCTATGTACCGTTTCTGGTAAAGAGCTTCTTGTTCACTGGTGAAGATAGGGCTACTCGGAAGACTTGCTTGATCATCAGAATTATTATTGTTATTAACACAAGCTGTGTCATTAATCTCCTGGGTTTCTTTCTCGATCTCGATAGAAGAAGGTGCCGATACTGTAGTAGTGCCAGGTACTGATTCAGAAGGAACTGGAGGAGGAAAAAATGCTTTTGAGGGAGCCATTCTCCTGTCATCAACAGCACTGGGATTGAAGCGGTATAAACTGCACTTCTTAAATCCACTCATAATATTGACAATCGTAAATGAAGTGTTCCAAGAGATCCCAATGAGAGACGCCAACAAATCATTAGTAATTACCTGTCCTGGGTTTTTAGCAATAAAATTAGTACAGGCTTTAGAGAAGTTAGATTTGAAAGATTTAAAAACTCCTACATCAAGAGGTTGCAATATATGGGTAATATGAGAGGGTAGACAGAGAAGATGTATGTCATTAGAGCGAGCATATTCAATAGCTTCTATTGAAATATGGCTGGAATGACCATCTTGAATAATCAGTACTGGTCTAGTAGGAGGAATACTAGCCACAAAAAATTTCAGCCATTCTAAAAATAAATTGGAATTAATCCAGCCATTTTCACTCTTAGCAAAGTAAGTGTTTGGTACCGCTCCGTTCTTGAAATTATTAGGAATTTCTCTTTTCCTTGGGTAAACTATCATAGGAGGTACAATTATGCCCGATGCAGAGACGCAGGCTAGTACAGTGTGTGTCTTGCCCCTTTCAGCCGAAAATACTGAATAAACTGTCTTACGGCCCATTTGTGTGATTACCTTTCCTGGACGATGAACAACTGTTACACCAGTTTTGTCGCAATTAAAAATGCACATGGGTTTTGAAATCAATTTTAATCTCCCGTATATACTCCCCACTTTTCCAAAGAAATTATTTATGGTGTCAACATGAGCTGATACAGCTCGACTGTATGAAAGGGGAAGCGGTGTGCAAATGGTGAGTTGAAGGTGGCGGTGCTTGAAACCATCAAACCAAGAGTGTCCTGCTGTATCTCCAGTAAATGGGTGTGCCTTATTTAATTTTTCAGCAAGTTTGAACGCAACTGTCATTACAGTTTCTCAAGACAGGCCGTACCCCATATCAGCCATAGTTATAAGATAATCACATATCATGCTTTCTTCCTCCATAGTAAAGACTGTAGGAGGTCCGGGTCGACAATCTATTGAAACTGCCCCAGTTACACGTCGTCTTAAAGTTTCAACTGGTACGTTATACGCTCAAGCAGCTTCCCGGAGGCCTTTACCTTCATCTTTTACATACTTGACAGCATTTTCCATTGATTCTGCAGTCCGTAGTTTTCTTCTACAAGCCATTAGTTACTACAACATATCTATAATAAATAATAAGAAAAGGTTCTTACTTTTGAGCTTGTTTTCGAGCCAAACACAAAAATGAAGAACGTGGAGTCACGTGATCAGGCAGCATTAATTAATTAATTAATTTCCATAATTATAATTATATTTTTTACAACTTTTGCAACCCGTATTATACATTTCTTTGTGGCACAAAATAAGCATCTTGAAGGTAAGAATTTTGTGCCATAATTTCAAATTGATTTGTTTCTTTGTCCCATAATATAAGCTGTCTCACAATATACTCTTGTACTCTATACTGTATATTGTATTGGGGCTGATACTACCTGTCCCGATTATAGAGGTGTCCTTATTTTAGACTGTCCACAATAGCAGGTTTGACTGTAAATGTAGGTAGCTCCCAGGCTCCTCTCCTTGATCAAGTTATGTGTAGTTCTCTCTCATCTATTTTTTCCCTTAGTCAAATTGTCACGCATCCTACTCACTATTCTCACTCAGGATCCCCTTCAATCATTGATCTTGTCTTTGTCCCTCGCTCAGCTCATGCTTCTACTATTGCCTCCCTTTTGGTTCTTCTGGCCTCTGTACAATCATCTCCTCACTCTCTTTTTCATTCAAACCTCCTTCTCACCATCAATCCTGCATAAAAGTCTGGCTCTATCACAAAGCAGACTTCAATGTCATCAATGACTCTCTTAATGCCATAGACTGGTCTTTCACACTCTCTCAAGACCTTGACATTGCCTGCTCTAAGTTCACCTCCATTTTTCTTCAGATTATAAATGAGCATATTCCATCTAAGTTTGTCTCTGATCAACTTCTCCCTCCTTGACTCTCTCGACCTCTTCTTCATAAAATTAAGCATCGGTGTAAACTGTTCCATCGAGCTGCTGTCTCCAATTCTCTCCTTCGCACTGGTTTGATTATCGTTCTCTACGCAATGCTATTTCCACTGAAGTTAAGCGATCTAAATCCCAATTTTTCACTTTCATCTCCCACTCACCTCAGAAATTTTGGTCTTATGTACGTTCTCTCCATCGAAACAAGGACTCAGTCTCTCCTCTTACATCTCCCTCTTGCTCTATTATCTCAGATGCCTCTGGTAAAGCCAATCTTTTTAATCAAGCTTTTTAAAGCTTTTTCACTGCTGACCCTGCTCCCCTAACTGTTATCTCTCTAGATCCCTCCTCGGTCTTTAGCAATGATCTTCTGTGTACTACTGCATCTGTCTCGCATCTCACCTCCTCTCTTCCTACTTGTACGTCTCCTGGTCCTGACGGAATTCCATCTCTCCTACTAAAATCCACTGCCTACTCTATTTCTGAACCCCTTAAGCTTATCTATCTCCACTGGCTCCTTTTCCTCTCCTTGGAAAAATTCCTGTGTCATCCCAATACCTAAAACTTCACCTCTCTCTTCATCTGCCTCAGACTTTCACCCAATTTTTCTCCTCAACCTAATCTCCAAACTTCTCGGAAGGCACGTCGTACGTTCTACTGAATTATTTTTTCTCAAACAACCTCCTCTCTGAAACTCAGTTCAGATTTCTCCATAGTCGTTCTACCTTACCATAATTCTTCTAAATTTCACACCTCTAATTTCGAAAATAAATAATTTTAAGCACTTTTATTTCAAAATTAATTCTAATTATTCGTTTTGTAAATTATGATGAAAGTTCTTCTAATTTCGCCATTTTCCTTCAATTTTAACACTCAACAGCATTATAACACATGAACCTGTGCTGGATGAGGCCGAAAATCAGGTCTTACTCACAGTGATGCCTCGAGCAGCACTCCACCGGACAGATGACTGCCATTAGTAGGCCTAAGTTCAAGATTCAATTGTGAAGATTATTAGTCAAACAACAAAGAAGCATTGACAGACTTACTATCTTGTCCAAACATGCATCTTAGTGCCTCCTATTTTGTCAATTCATTGTTAGTTGGCCATAAAGGCTTAGTTTACTCTAATTATTTGTTTTCAAAATTTATTTATCAAAAGTGACCAGGGCGAATTTTTAGAAGAATTACAGTATCTGCTCTCTCTGCTGCTACTCAACATATATTTTCTACTTTTGACTCCAGCTCTTCCCTCTGTGGTGTTTTTCTTGGGTGTTAAAAAGGCCTTTGATTCTGCCAGACTGTGCCAGTCACAGTATTCTCCTATCCAAACTTCAGTCCCTCAGCATTCCTCCTCACATTCTACACTGGCTCTTAATTCTCCTATCTCTCTGACCGGTCTCAGTGCATTTGTGTTGATGATTCTAGTCATTCTACTTCCCCTCCATCTTCTATGTCCTCGGGTGTCCCACAAGGCTCCATATTAGGTCCATTATTATTTGTTCTTTTTGTTAACAATCTCAATCTTCTCCCTCTCTGCTTGCCCCATGTCTGCTTAAGGTACAATGTACATGTATTATATCTTACATATCGAAGGCTTGGGGGAGGGAGTCTTTGATAAGTACATAACAGGACACTGTGGAGTTCTACATAGTACATACATGTAAATTGATAAATGATGATTTAATATTGGCTGATCGAGGATTTACAGTCAGTGACAGTGTGGGGTTGTATTGTGCTGAATTAAAAATCCCACCTTTTAGAAAAGGACAAAAGCAGCTCACATGATGTGAAATAGATTGATCTCATGTTATCTCTCATGTCAGAATGCACCTTCAACAAGTAATTGGGATCTTAAAACAAAAGTGCAAAATTCTTTAAGCGATATTGCCTGTTAACTTAATAAAATCTAGTAGAGATAATACATGCAGTATTGGTAATATTATTGGGCGAAGTCCACTAAGATAAGTGTGAGTTTGTACAGGGATTTGGTTGTCCAACTGTTATTAAAGTTAAGTAGCCTAACCTTCATTGAATGCAGGTATGCATATGGTCACAATAAATAAAATAGCAGCTATCAGCAAGTCTGTCTTTATCTGCAGCAAATGGTCAGCAGAATAACACTAAACTGCTTTCTAAAGACCTCTCTAGCAACAACAATAGCATGGTTTGGGGGCTAAGCTCCTCCAAATCTTTTACATTCTTCTAGTTATAACATGTTCTGGATCGTGTAACTTATTATGTCCATCTGTTGTAGATGCATAAAAAATTAGATGAATAAAATCAAAATTTGTAATCACAAATAACAACTAACCAGTGTTATTAGTTGCTTGACCTTTTGGGTTTAGTTTGTCTTTTAATCTTTCTACAATCGGGACAGAGCCACTTTCCTTTGGTTCCAATGTCATTCTTAAACACGAACAATGAAACCATTATATCTTCGAGTAGGGTAATCACAACCAATTATTAGCTCATCACCTTCGAGATGTCAACAGTAACACCATATAATTCTGCGTCTTCCATATTATCATCATCATTGTCATCACCTGTGTGACCAGATTCCACTTCAGCAGTAATTACATACTCACGTGTATACCATTTTCCGATTAATTCTGGGAAGTATGGCATACTTGTAAAGCACTGCTATTTTCTCCATTGCTTTGTTGAATTGTCAATAGATAAATATGCTGCAAATGTATTCTATGAGGGTCCAAACTAATCAAACTGTAAAGTTGCAATACTTCAGACAACAGATATGTATCTGAGCTTGTACTTGATAATAATTGTCAGAGTCTTTCTTTAAAGCTAGCCCAGTCCCTGTATCTTCCAAGTGTCTTATGCTAGAGTCAGGAGTTTTGTCCTTAGAACAATGAGGACACTTTATTTCCAGACCACACAGTCACAATGAACTAAACCATCAGGTGAAGCTCCATCATGTGCCATTGATGGATTGACAAAGAAACCCGCTGGATTGAATAGTGAAGTTGGAGAGATAACTTGTAGCATTTGCACAATACTAATACCTTGCAGTATTTTCATGTGTACAGCCATATCTAAAGTGAATTAAAGTAGATAAATATTATTGTGACTTAATGCCATAGCATAAATGCATACAGCTACAAACTATATAGGTTTTTGCACTGACCTTGTTGTGGCGACATTAAACTTGTATGCTTCAGGATAACATATAGATTTTGTCAGAAATTGAGCTGGTTGATGAGGATCAGTTGAGCAGGCAACTTTGAAGCAGTTACTCTACCTGCCCTGTGTTTGAACCACGTTCTAGACTATGCCTGATCACGTGTCAGACCCTCCAAAGCTCTCACTTGCTCTTCTGTAACCAGCTCTTCTATTTTAAGAAAGACCCTCTCACATACTGTTATAAGCTCTGTATAGGGTAGATTTAGATTCTCCTTTTATAGAAGGATGTAAGAAGCTTTGGTAGCTCAGTAGGAATGAAATCTATCAGAATAAATACAATTTGAAATAAACATAAATACGTAATGATTAATCACCAGCTGCATGCTCCGAGACAATTGATAAAATTGCTGCTTTGGACTCACATATTTTAAACTTTGTATAAAACTCATCCAGTGATGTCTGATTTGGGTTCCCTTTTACTTTTTGGTACAAGAGTCTTAGTAGATTTGCAGTTGTTATCTTTTAAGCCATCTTTGGCCTAACAAAATTGATATCACTTGCAGGTGCACATTTGATCTACAAGTAAATAATGATGATAAAGTAAAACATTTACAAACCTTTTTCTGAACTGTGGGAGCTAGCCAGCTACACGTAACGAAAGTGCAAGCAGTCACACAGACATCAGCCATTATTGTGTACAGCAATGCACCAATATGGGAACATGCTTCACCAGCATCAGCCATACAATTCACATTACCACACCATTCTTCGATGTTGCCACCCATGGTGTTTCATTCATTCTCTGACTGTGCTTAAGGCTACAAATTTATGACAAGTTAAAAAATCATAATAAATTCACATATAATATGTTGGCAGACATCACAAAAGAGTCATCATGGACTTTTAAAATCAATACATCACTCACAAAGCCAGCAGCCAGCCTCTGTGGACTTGTAGGCTCTTAACTCCTCTTTTGTGTATGGACTTGGTGAGTAAATGAGATACATAGATATATCTGGGAACTCTACACTGGGCCAAAGATCCCTCCTGTCAGACCACTCACTCTCGGATATAAGATATAGGTCTTCCTCAAGGTCTATTATTTTCATTTTCCTGTAATGCTTCTTGCCTTCTGGATGTAGCTGTTCAAAGAAGGAACTCTCCATGCCCCCACATGTTGCCATGTTTTTTGACACCCAATATGGCTGCCAGGTAAATTGTGGGCATGTCGAGAAGTATGAGTATCATTAAAAGGCGTTACTAAAAAAGGACTATTGACTTGCCCATGAATTTTATTTGACCATTAGGTGTCTATTTGAAAGACACATTCAAATTCAGCTTCTATTTGAATATAATATCTGTACACATACATGTGCAGTAATCATTTCTCCTATTTATAGTAAATGCTGCTGACAACAAGCAAAGAGATAGTAAAATGAATACAATTAAGATTGTAATTGACCCGTAAGTATATAATTAAACTATTGCAATAATGTTACATGATAATGTGTTCTAGGGAAAATAATGTTATTAGTGTATGGAATAACGGAGCTGGTATTCCTGTTGAAATGCATGCTGTAGAGAAGAAATATGTACCGGAATTGATATTTGGTACACTGCTGACATCGTCCAATTTTAATGACGATCAAAAGAAAGTGACTGGTGGTCGAAATGGATATGGAGCAAAGCTGTGTAATATATTTAGCACAGAGTTTACTGTAGAGACAGCATCAAGTGCTTCTGGCAAACAGTTTAAGCAGGTATTGTACATGTACATGATAATTGGCTGTTAAGATTAAGTATTACTGTGCAAATAAGAGCCAGAGTTACTTTTGCTTTTCAGATGATTCAAATAGCAATGGTATTTTATACTAGTCTTATTTGTTCCATTGTGTAGACTTGGCAGAATAATATGGATGTTGCTGGGAAAAACACAGTTACTGTGTCAAAGAAGGATTTTACAAAAATCACTTTTAAGCCTGACTTGGCCAAATTTAAGATGTCACATTTGAATAAAGACATCGTGTCACTGATGACAAGAAGAGCGTATGATATAGCTGGTT